AGATGAAGCTAAGCCTGCTTTTAATGTTTCCCTTGTGAGGAAAAAAGCATACAAATGAACCGCAATAATACTGCTTACAAAAATAGTAAAATAGAATAAAACATCCACACTATACAATTTGGAAAACTATAAAGAATTTAAACCTAACTGACAATTTGAACTTTTCCCTATGGCAGAGGTAAGGGAAAATTCTGAAAGAATGATAAAGTCTTCCCTCACAAAAACCACAATAATTCGGTTCCCCCTAACTTAGGGAAAGTGAAAAAGCTTTACAACAAAAATCAAATTACTTCTGTCCTTTCACTTGATATTCCTGACACCCTGAGTTGGAGAAGCCAAATATGCAAATTTTATCATGATGTAAGAGAAAATAATATATATGCAACATTTGCCATGATATAAATGAAAGTAGTATCTATATGCACGTATATATATACATATGCATCTTACATAAGGTATATTTTAAAGTAAATGTATTTGTTTATTTAAATACATACTGAAAATATCAAGATACACACCCAATTGCTAGGGGTATTTACTACTGGGAGTTCAATTATAGATTGGGAGAGTCTTCCAATTTTTATGTTGTACACTTTTAAAATTTTAATTTTTTTAACCATGGATATGAGTTACTATTTAATTTGAAAAATAGAAACTCACCTAAATATGTTCTGAACTTGCAATCCTGGTGTACCTGCTCTTAGTGAAGACCTATGACAGGTTCAGGGGACTAGATCCTAACATACTAGCCATACTATTTCAAGGTTGTCTCAAACAACTTACCAGGGAGATGACCCACCTGTCCAAACAGAATTAAGATGGGTAAAGAAATAAAGGTTATCTATACAACACACACACAAAAGAGCGCAGGTTTATCGACTTTTCCAGAGGTGTGATGGTCATAAAGAAATAGTCCAACAGTAAAGCCAGTTCTTTAGATTTTCTTTTAAAGATACCATTCAAAAAAGAGCCTATTCACAAATAAGACAGAACCAAAAGGTCTCTGGTCACTACAAAGGCTGAAAGGAATGTGCAAGACCACCAGCAGGAATAGCAATCAAGTATCAGCTAGACAAATGGCCCCAGGGGGTCAGATTAAGTGTCCTGTTACAGACGTTTGCTTTCAGAAATAAAGGGGGCCAAACTTCCCCAACCCCCACTTCCTAACTCCAGGCCTCATTGAGTTTTCCTTCGCCTCTGAATCTACAAACACAGCTCCCACTCAGGTCAGTGTTCTGTTTCCTCCTGACACTCCGTGAAACTTTCTGGTCAATGCAGCCTTACCACCTTCTCAGAGACCATAAACTCTTTCTCACATTGATAACTTTGTACAGAAATCACCACCTCCTTTCCCACGTGGAGCACAGAGAGGCCCTGTGAGGTACACGCCCACATCAGGCCACTCCCAGCACAGAGCTGGGGACAGGCAAGAAATCGACCCAGCACCAGCACTAGCTCCGCCAAGCCTGACATTTTTCCTGGGTAACTATACCTCCTTTTATCTGTCCAAAACTTGAGAAAATCTCCTTATCTCCCAGTGGATCCTAAGGCTTCACAGACATCCAAACAATCTTATAATTTATCAAACTGAAATGAAACAAAGGGCAGAAGGCAAGGGGAAAAAGACATAGCACATTTCCCAAGGAAATAACCCTTTGACTGGCAAAGTATTATAAATCTCATCAACTCCCCTGCAGCCACCTCAATCCTTAAATTGAAGCCTGGGGGTCAACAAGGCCCTGAGCTTAACCAGTTCCCTACACTACAGTGAAATCATAGCGGTAAAGCCAATTCAGAAGCGATGGGGATTAAAGTTCTACTTCTGAGAGGAACTTGGCCGGGATTTCTGAAGCCAAGCTTAGACTAGTGAGCTGCAGTGACCAGCCTGCCTCCTCACCCACATTGCTTTTCTAAAGATAAGGCAAACACCCTTCACCTTAAACTAGCTTTGCCTCATAATTTATCTTGTACTTCTTCCTAGCCCAGATGAGCAACATTCTTGGCTCCCCTCATCTTGATATACTTTTCTTAATTCCAGTTAAGTATATGATAAGGACTGACATAAAAAACAACAACAACAGTGGTATATAGGACTTTTTTGATTAGCATTTGGGTTTAAATTTGTTAATTAAAACAACTGCATACTGATTTAACAAAAAGGTACCACAGAACTTCCAATGGCAAAAAAGCTCTAACTCTCCATCACCCTTAAGTCCTGTCAGTAGACAGATTTCACTGATCTTTCTCCTAGTTGCAGTCCCACAGTTTCTCCCTAGCTTGGATCTCCTCTAACAGTCATCCCAGAATGCTCTGGTTCCCTTGACTTCAGTGTCTTGCCCCTTGAATTCTTCTGTGTGTCTTTGTCCTCGATGAGGCTTCACAACCATTGCCTTACCATGAAACTCCACAATCCTAAATGGCTTCCCCTGTGGGTCACTGAATCAAGTGCAGATCTCACAGCTTCAACATAAGCCCTTCTTTGTCAGACTGACCTCTGGGCATTTTGAGCTACAGCAGTTAGACAATCTAATATACTAGAAGGTCTTGGTACTTTGCCTCCTCCAGGCCTTTGATCTTACAACTTCTTCCTCCTGTAACCCCACACATGCCTACCTTCGGTCAGGGATGGGTTCCTCCTCAGAAATTCCAGGGCTCTCTGCCTTACAGACTACATGCAAAACATCCTATTGCTGAGTTGAATGGCCTTAATTTTTCTTTCTTGCTGATGACCCATGGCATACTCATTCACCATAACATTCTCAAGTCCACTTACAAGGCTTGGGAGAAACATCTCTTGTTATCCAATTCTCTTCCCTGTGTTAGCTAATAACATCTTACAGAAGCAGTAGCAGGCTCTTCCTCTGCTCCATTTACCAATTCAGAGTAACTAGCACTGTTGGCAAACCCCTGTATTTTCTAAACATCAGTTCCTAACTGTCAAAAGGAGAACTATGCCTGATACTGTAGTTATCAAAACAAAGATAATGCACAAAGGACTGGCACATCACAAGCCCTTAAAATGGTAGTTATTAACATGAATGATAATGAACAAAACCACAGAGGATGGGATTACACCACCTTCTCTAAAGGCTGCATTTGTATTCTGCAAGAGTGTTGTAATTGGGTAATGAAGAAGCAGAAGTTGGTCAAGCAGGGGCCTGTAAGAGCTTGAATAATCAAGTAGGGGGGGCATGGGTATTTTGTTGTTTAAAATGAGGGTGTTGGTCTTTTCCAGTCTGACATTTCGATGTGTTGTGAAGCATTCTGTAGCAATTTTCTACATTGCTCCCACACAAATATCTGCCTTCTTCTGCAACTAAGCCCGGTAGAGTGTCCAATGTGTGGGTACTCCACTCAGTTCAAACCATAATAGACTGAAATTATTCAAAGTTTTATCCTTAAAGAATCTGAATTTTGCTTTCATTTAAAAATCCAGGACTAGATCCCATACTACTCTGAACTCACCCGTAAGTCAATTAACTTGAACGTTTTCCCAAAACTGAACATGGATTATAAAGTCTTCAATGTTTTTATTCTAAAAGTTAAAGGTATTATAGATGATGGCTTACACTAATACCAAAAACTTATTTCAACATTTCATGATTCTAATTTTGATTACAATTCCCAGAGGATGCGCTGGATTAAGTTCTAATATACTTTTCTAAAGAAGCCAGTTTTAGATAAGTTCCCATTTTAGTCCCTCAATTAGCGGGACTTTAAAATACCTTTTCCCTAGGATACAAAGAAAGAACTTTGAGGGAAATGTAGAGCATTTGTCTGAATCTCAGCACAGATACTGTATTCGTGAAATAAAAGGAAGCATAAGAGGGGCTCAAGATGCTGCCTGCAGCCTAAGAAGACCTGCAGAGCTGAAAGGGTCTGACAGCAGGATGTGGGTTATAATGTTTCTGAATGAAATCCTTTTGTGCGAGGGTCTCACAAAGGGCATCCAGGCAGGGCTGTGTGTGTTTGGATTTAAATTAATCAAGTCAGTTCCACAATGCTAAGATTCCTTCTGTTTAACTGGTTACGGCGGGTTTACAGGCAGTTCCCAAATGATGTCAATAGCTTCTAAAAGGTCAAACGCAGCAAAGCACACCAAATGTCCTAGCGTAAAAAGCATCAGTAACTTCTCCCTCTGTGATCTGCTGGGTATGACTTATTATGCAGCGGATTATCCCATTTTAATCAACTGCCCTGGTTTTCTTCTTTTCAAATTTTTCCCAAAAGTTAAAACATAGCTATACATTTTAATAATGTATACAACCAGACTGTTTGCTTTGTTCTACAGTATGTCGGGCTAAAAACAATATAGATAGCCCAGCTGCAGCACCAAATTTGGCATTGGGAGTGGGGGACAGGACAAAAAGGGATGGGGGTGGAACTGCTGTAGTCAATACAGGGTAAGTACAACCAAAGCATCATCTGTATTATTAACACAAAGATACAAAAAAGAAAGATATGACTATGATAAATGCACCATCAGGTAACAAATGCTCAGAAAACAGCATAGATACAAAAAGGAAGAACCCAAGCCACGTGTAAAATTCCATCTGGGTTCAAAACCATGCACTCTAGACCTTTGGGGGCTTCTTTAAAAATCCAGTGTTTGTTTTTCCCAAACAGTAAGGGACTGAATGCATTTTTGTAAAACATTAACGGTGCGTGTCCTGGGCACCGAGTCAAAAGGAAAGGGAAGAGAGATAAGCCAAGTATTCTAGAGCATAAAGTGACCAGGACCAGCTTTTGTCTGACAATGCTGGAGAAACAATAAATGCCAGCTCAGGGACTCAGAGGAAGTTCCAAGCACTCAACATAGCCCCCTCCGTCTTATTACGGTCTCTGACCTCTGACTGCATTGCTATACAGGTTTTCAGAGCACAGCATTGGGTCTGCATTCCAGCTCTGCCACCTCCCATCCCTGTGATCTTGGGCAAGCTACTACACTTTCCTGGGCCTCACTTTTATCACCTATTAAAGTATGGAAATCATAATCATACCTCTGGAGGTAGCTGAGCCAGACACAGTTTCAGGTATTTGGAGTGCAGTGTTGAACAAGCCATACAGGGCTGCTGCAATCAGGGAGCTTACATTCTGGGTTGGGAGATAAAACAATAGACAATTAAATAAATAACAATTTTATATGTAAGAAAGAAACATAAAAATTTTACATGTATCTTTAGAAACATATCATAGCATGATGAGATAAGAAGTATTCCAAGTCATGAAAGGCAAGGACCTACATCCAAGATTGCTCTATCCAGCAAAGCTTTCATTTAGAATGGAAGGGCAGATAAAGTGCTTCTCAGAGAAGGTCAAGTTAAAGGAGTTCATCATCACCAAGCCCTTATTTTATGAAATGTTAAAGGGACTTATCTAAGAAAAGAAGATAAAGAAAAAAACATGTATAGTAAAAGGACAGCAAACTCACAATTATTAACAATCACACCTAAAGCAAAACCAAAAGAAACTAAGCAAACAACTAGAACAGGAACAGAACCACAGAAATGGAGATCACATGGAGGGTTAGCAACAGGGGGGGGGGTGGGAGGAGGAGAGAGGGGGAAAAGGTACAGAGAATAAGTAGCATTGATTGTAGGTTGAAAATAGATGGGGGAGGGTAAGAATAGTATGGGAAATCTAGAAGCTAAAGAACTTATAAGTGTGACACATGGACATGACTAAAGGGGGGGAAATGGGTGGGAGAGGGTGTGGAGGGGAGTGAAGGGGGGCAAATGGGACAACTGTAATAGCATAATTAATAAAATATATTTTTTAAAAAAACTGTCCAGATAAGAGAATAACTTAATACAGTTGTCAGAGAGAAATCTCAGTCTCAGAAGAAATGACATTTGAATAAGGAGAAGCAGCGAGATGCATAGAATAAAAGGACACAGCCTTCCAGGCATAGAGATCAGCAAGAACAAAAGTCCAAGACAGAAATGAACTCAAAATGCTCAAGGAACATAAAAAAGCCCAGTGTGAGTGAAGGATAGTGAAGAGTGAGCAACAAGTATAGACACCTTTCAGACAATTAAGTGAAGGAGCTAAATTATAAATGAATTTGTGAATGGAGCCTGGAGTTAGAGGATAAACTTGAAAATGTAAATTTGGGAATCACCTACTCAACACAAATCTCTGTGAAGCACCCAGCACCATGCCTGAATGCTGTGATTATTGATAACTGATCATTCTCTTTCCATTTTTCCACGTAACTGAGTTGATATTTGCACTAGGGAGATTGTCAACATAATAGAGAGAAGATGGGAGGAGCTGGGTTTGCTGAGGGAGAACACATGTGTTTCACATTGACTGCCAACTCTACAAAATAGTGGAACATCCTGACGTTCTGTGTTGAGCAGGATTCTGGGGCCAAATACGAGCCTGTGTAATGATGTGTTCCATTATATGCAAAATATGTAAATGGTGACAGATTTCCAAGGCTTTGGCATTGGCAGTTTTTGTTCACTGTTTTATTTAATTTTTTTCATATTTGGTAATTATTTCTCGTAATAATATGAATTAGGTAACATCACTATCTCTACTTTATAATTAAGAAATCTGAGGCTCAGAAAGAATAATTTATTTGCTCAAAGGAACCAGCCTTTAAATACTTAAAATCTGGGTGTCTCTAACTCTGGAAACTATGATCCTACCTAATGTGATATGTATGTGTAAAGTTGCTCAGTTAACTCATTTGATTCTCCTAACTGTACTTCAAGAATCTTTCTAGCTGAGCCAAGTATGAATTTAGTGTCTGGTTCCAGTAAGGAATTTCATATACAACCATCAGTCTAATTCTGGCGTGTTCACTGGTTTCTAAATTCACATGTCACTTCTGAAGAAAGCATCTAAGCACAATTCATTTCTGTGTTGACATTAGTGGAAAACATCCTAGTCCTTAAAATGACAACTCCTATTTGATTTAGTGCTTCGGTAATCTTGCAAGCACATGACAATTTTAGCAACTGTACAAATTCCCTTGTTTTAGCCATTACCTACATATCCTTCACCACCTACCTATTCTTCAGCTGATAAATTCACATGTAGCTGCATTTTAACACACACACACACCCATACACTTTTATTATATTAAATTACTGCCATTGTTGTTATTGTTACTTCATCTACAAAATGGAAGATTCATATACTTTGACTAAAGAATAGGAATTTTTAGGAATTTAGTCCTAAGGAATAGGAATATTAAGGATGTTTTTATCTTCACCCAAGGCCATTTTTTTCATTGCCTTTTAGAGACAGAGGAAGAGAGAGAGAGAAACATCAATGTAAGAGAAGCAACAATTGGTTGTTTCCATTATGTGCCCAGACCAGGGGTCAGCACCCAGAAGGGGAATTGAACCCACAACCCAGGCTTGTGCCCTCAAGAACAATCATACCTGCAACCCTTTAGTTACATGACAACACTCCAACCAACTGAGCCACACAGACCAGGGCAGGAATTTTAATGATTCTAGGGCAGTGAGAAGTAAAAACTCTTGTATAGGCTACACACTAACCACAAGATAGGCAAAAAAGCTCCCCTATGCTGAACCCTGCATGGCCCTGTCCTTCCTGCCCATCCTCATGCTATTTTCTTCCCACCTGTTTTCTGTGAGAGGGCTTCGTAACAGGAAAAAATATGCCATATACTACATTGATTTGATTCCAGCAAACTAACCAGAATTTGAATTTTTATTAGCAAGAGCCATAGGCAAAAGCAATAATACACTGTATCTATCAGAGTGGTTAGTTTTATTCATGAACCCATGCTGGGTTAAGGAGGAAAAAAATGAGGAAAAAAGCTAACTTCAAAGCATTACTGAGAGATGATTAACTCTTTAGCCACAAATAAGAATCACACACTACTTTGATGTGTAAGATGAGTTAGTGCCTACATTTAAAGAAAGAACATCTACAATATAAGTTTAACCATTAAAAAAATCCAATGATACACTTATTTTGCATCTTGAAAACCAGTAATTACCTGAGGGAATAAACAAAATTGGAACTCAGCCTCAGAAATTAAGCCATAAATGCAAAGTATACAAACAATATCCCTCCCTCATCATACAGTTTAGTGGCAAAATGCCAGTAATAATATGTTTAGTGCAGGAAATATAACTCTTTAAATTATCATTTTTTTCAAAGTTGCCCACCCCATAAGGTACTTTGGAAATTAATCAAGTTGCATACACATCTTTATCTCAAAAACTCAAGTAAGCTTAATTGGAGTATTATTCAATATACAAACTATGCAGCACACGACTACAAAGACTACAGTTGTGTAACTGCTTGTGCCAATGCTTAACTTGAAATAAACACTGACAATGATCTAAAATTGCTGATCTTGGTGCCCTAAGCAATCTCTATCATTTATAGATTCTATGTCATGATCTATTTTTGCACAAAAACTGAGAACTATTATTTAGTATGTATAATTCTTAAAAGTTATATAAAAATAGGCCATGGAATATACTACATAAATTTCAAGAGAAAATGAAAATTACTTAGAAGAAAAGTGAGTAGATTAAAATATGTGATTTTTCATAACAGTGGCCCAATGACATAGGAAAGATGGAAGGCTGATACCATGTACTATAAATGGTTTTTAACATGTAAATATATCAGATATGCTATACGTGTTAAAATACTTGTATTTATCTATCTGGATATATTTAAATATTCTTAAGACCTAAACACTTAACATTACAATTTTCTCTTCTACCAAATTGACACACCTCTATCAATAACTACTTGGAAAAATATGCAAGGCAATATTAAAAAGGATTATTGTGCTTCATTGTATATGATGAAAATGCAGTTTTTTAAAAACTGTTCTATCTGACATTCAGTTCTGTGTGCTCGTACGGCCAGTCAAAAGCCATTCTCCACCCGCTGAAAATACATACTAGAAAATAAAATGTCCTTCCAAATCATTTTGTGTGTAGTATTCTCAAAATGACTGAGGTTATATTCTAAATGTTTAAAAGTGTGGTGCCTCAAATAGAAATATACTCACTATGCCAGAAATTAATTTATAAATAAGATTTAATGACCGTCATATAATTTAGAACATTCACACTGGATAAAGAAAGCACTATGTCAACTATTAGTGAAATTAATACATAAGAAAACCAACCAGCTCAACACTATATAGATACTGTCTCCTTTTCTAATAAAAGTAACAAATTCAACATGATTCCTAGGAGTCTTAGGACAGTCTCTCTTACCATTCAATAGTCTTCTGGGAATTGACTCAGCAGTGCTTTTGTATCTTTAGGTTGTTCTACAGATGTGTTCATGTAGAAAAAAAAAAACACCAATCCCGGTGCTGTTGCATGTAAGTAATCAACAGTTCAGTCTTGTTAACATTTTGACATCTGGCAATGCAGCTTATGGCTCTCAATCACTATTCTATCAATAGGTTCTATTAACAATTATAAGATAACTGGTCACTCAGCACTTTGTACAACTAGGTACTGAGCTAAGTGCTTGACACAACTTAATACATTTAATCCTTCATAAAAACGTTATGAAGTAGGTAATAGTTTACTGCCATTTTACAAGTAAGGAAATCAAGGCACAAAAATGTTTAATAACTTGCTCATAGTTATACAGAGAGCAGGTAGCTGCATTTCAATGAGGGAAACTTACAGTTCACAGAATGTGATGGGCACCCACGGGAAAGAAAACAAAAGGGGCAAAAGTACAAAGAGTCAAATGAAGGGATTAAATAGAGACAAATGCTTTTTCTTTAACTATTTTCTCTATTCTCATCTGGCTGACTGTGGTGTGCTTAAATAAACAAAAAAAAGGTAACAATAGTAGCCAGGTTTGCAAAAGCAAAGGTGACTCCTACTTAAATTCTAAGAAACTCACATTTTCTTGCCTTACTTAAAAGATGAATCTCTGCCCTGGCCAGTGTGGCTCAGTTGGTTGGAGCATCGTCCCATGGGGCATGGATTTGATTCTGGATCAGGGCACACACATAGGTTGTAGGTTTAATCCCCAGCTAGGGCATGTACAAGACGACGGCCTCAATCTCAATTTCTCGCTGTGGAGGCACAGATGGGTATATGTAAATCCTAGCAGGG